TCTCTGCACACTTTATTAGCCCCCTTTTACCCTGTTCTTCAATGGTCAGGACCCCCACAGGACCACCACATAGCAGGTATTTTTTGGGTGGTGGATCGGCACTGCAGTGACACTGACATGGTCTGTTAGTGTGTGTTGTGCTGGCACGAGCGGATCAGACACAGCAGATCTGCTGTTTTTTAATGCTGTGTCCACTTACTGTCCACACCTACTTTGTTGGTCCACCTTGCAGATGTAAAGTCAGAGACAGTAGTTCATCTGTTGCTGCACAGTTTGTGTTGGTCATCCTCTAGTCCTTTAGGTTGCTGCCCACAGGATGCTGTTGGCTGGATGTTTTTGGTTGGTGGACTATTCTCAGTCCAGCAGTGACACTGAGTTTCCTGCAGCACTGTTGTGTCTGATCCACTCAGAACCTGCGTGAAAAACAGGGTAAAGGGGGCTAACAAAGTACGCAGAGAAATAGATGGACTACAGTCTGTAAGAGCTATGGTAAGAGCTATAATATATATATGTTTGTGTGTGTTTACCCCAAAGAGTTGTTGTTGAACCCAAACAGACATACAGACATCTATTCCTGCTCTCAGATGCCATCCTGACAAAGCAGAATGTCTCTGTAAATCTGAATTATTCAACACACTTGTGCATGTTTTCAGCATAGCAGAGTCACTCACACACACACACACACATACACACACACACACATACTGCATACCAGTACAGGCGCCCTGGATTGACTTCCGATCGTGTGTATTATTGATGTGCTCGCTTGCGTGCCTCCATTGTCTCGCAGCATGTTGTCATTGAGGCCTTCAGGTTTTGCTTTTGTCATTTCTCTAAATATGAATGTTTTATCCAAACTGGCCCAATTGCTTAACCATCCATGATCCTGCCCCACCCACCACTCCACCAGTACAGAAAAACACCAGCCCCACTCCTGCATCACTGCTTACTCCATTCTTACTCCAATTCCTCATCTTATTCTTATTCTTAGGCTCTCAAAGGCCAGTGCTAACTTTATGACATAGCTGAATGAACGTAGAATCAAACATAACATAGTGCATTACCACAAAATTCAACTGATGTGTGCCGTCACGTGCGCTTATAGACCAAATCCTCATCTGTCTATCATCAACATCATTCTATCAACAGAAGAGGGCTTACACTGTAACACTATATTACTAATACTAATAACCTAGTTCCAATATAGCTCCAGTGATTTTGATAGTGACGATACCACATGTAGTTCCGACAGCTGAGGCTTTATAACTATGGAAAGTCAGAAGTAAACTTTTGTCAATGGTGTTAAAATTGAGCACATTTGGAGCAGATTTAAAGAAGAATTCTTATTCTGTGTAATTTAACTGTCAAGTAGTTTGATGAGAAATGGAGCATTGAAAATACCTTTCGACTCAGATTTCTTTAGAGTGAAGGTGATGCACAAAGAACAACATTTTATTTACTATCCAAAACAATTGGCGAATCTTCATGCCTTCTGAATTCTTTAATGTAACGTTAATAAAATAGAGGGAAATCTAAAAAAAAGAAGTTTTCTTTGGGTCGTGTTTTGCCTTACAGCGCCCTGCATGTGCCTCTTTATCTTAAAACTCTCGTAAAACAATCTCTCAGACAATAGGCAACATAAATTTAGGCCAGAAAAATGGATCTCAAATCCATCACAAAACATTGTCTCAGGCATCAGGTGGTGTGTTTGTTACCATTTCATGAGATAGCTTTTTCGTTAGGTAACTTTTAGAGGTATTAAACTCTTGATGTCTGGTTTCTTTGAATATTTCTGACTATATAAGTTTCTCTAGAACAGAGAATTTCACATTAAACCACTCTGAAAAACTTTGGTTACATTTTAGTCATTACCTTCTGCTGAAATTTTGAAAACATTGGTGGAATTGCCTTGCCCTTGACAAAGAAACTCAGTTCCAGCTTGCATATCATGATGTTGTTTAATTACTTATGATATGGAATGAAATAATAGCCTATGGTAATTTTTATTTATTGTAACACGCTTCAAGCCTGCAGAAATACTATAACTGATTCAGGTATGCTGGAACAACAAGTGCAATCTGCAACAGCTCCACCTCACAACTTACAGGACTTAAATTATCTGCTGCTAATATATTGATGCCAGATACCACAGGGCACCTTTAGAGGTCTTGTAGAGCCCACGCCTCGGTGGGTCAGTTTAGGTAGGCGGCACATGTCAAATTGACGTCCAAATGAATGTCTGGACCCTGGGTTTCCCTCAGAGCACTTCCCAGAGTATCACTCTTTGCAGGCTTGTCTTCTTCTCAAAGTCCATTCTACCAGTAACCATCATTAACAGGGGTTTGGGCACCCAATACCCTGTTGTTGGTTTGTGGTTTATCCTTCCTCAGACCACTGTCAGTATGTACTCACCACTGCTGACCAGGTGCACCCCACAAGCCTTGTCATTTCAGAGATGCTCCGACCCAGTCGTAATAATATGGCCCTTGTCAAAGTCACTCAGTCTCTTCCGCCTGCCCATTTCTCCTGCATCCAACATGTTATCTACAAGAACCAGCTGTTTGTTTACCTGCTATCTAATATATCGCAGACCTTGACATGCATTGTTAAATAATCAATGTTATTTGCTGCATCTGTCTATCTGTGGTTGAAATGTTTTGGTTCATTGGTGCACAAAAGACAGTTAGGCCTACTTGAGCCGGGTAACTCCACATACATACGTTCATGGACAAATGACTGACACATTTGAATCATATAAATTAAATACACCATTTTTTTCTGAGGCAGAGAAAGTGAGTCCATCCTTATTGTACTGTGTAGAGTATAGAGTATGTTTTAATGTCCAAATATATGAGAAATCGCCATGCTTTATTTGTCTATTACTCAGTATAGACTCACTGCAAGAAGTCTTTGGGGGTCTGACGGCACCACTGATGCAAAAAGTGGCATTTGGTGTCCATTATATGAGCATATGAATCAATCAGACCAATGCACAGAGCCAGAGACACATCGGATCGAACACACGGGAAAATGAGCATACACACTCTCAGAACCGGACACGCTCGACCCAAACAGCTCGGTTTCCCACTCCCCCTCACTTTCACACAGGAAGTTCTTCCTGAGCTGGGGTCACGAAGACATGACTCTAGGGGAGTGATCCAATTCCCAACTCATCATTTCTCTCTCTCTCTCTCTTTAACTCTCATTGTCTCTCTCTCTCTTTCCCCTTGATTCCCATATCTTCCAGTTTATAGCTCAGCATGAGCAGAAAAGCTGGAATGCTAGGAGATCCCACTGGAAACTCTCAGACTCTCATAGCCTACTTCATAGGGGTGACTGGGACAGTGATAGGATATTATGTAATGCAGTATGAACACATGGCAAAGTATTTGGCCCCTCAATAAACTTGACTTCAGCTAGAGCCAGATCCACAGATTTGAACTGAATCTTCACTCTGCCATACGTTTCATTCTCATATACCCATATATACAATAGCTGATGTAACTGGTACAGTCGTGTGCTCAGGTTTGGGCACCCCTGGTCAAATGACATGTTTTGTTGTTTGTTGTTTTGTTTATGCTCTACAAAGAAGACATTTTTAATTGCACAATTACTCTTTATTTGCTGAACAATAAGTTGTTGCCTTATGGTATCCTTTTTGAGATCTTTATAAGTGTGCATGCCACACAGTGCAGAGAGACTTCAATTGACCTCTAAGTTCTATTTTATTCAAGACTTATTTATTTAACACTTTTTACACTAGGTGTTGTCACAAAGCAGCTTCACAGAAAACCCAGGTCCAAGCCCAAGACGAGCAAGCCAAAGGGCGACAGTGCAAGAGCAAGAGGAAGAAACCTTGAGAGGAACCAAGACTTAAAAAGGGGAACCCATCCTCCAATGGTCGGCACTGGATTGCAAAACAATAACACAACAAGAGCTGACAAAGAGTATGCAATAGTGAGTTGGGATAAAGGAAATAAATGAGCCTGTCATTGAACAGTGACTACCGTTAGAAGCCTATGACAGTGAAAATTTGAATTTTATCCATGAAAACTAATGACTGCTGTTAGAAGCCTATCATGACAATACGTTAGTATGGATACGTGAAGAACTCAGTATAGTGTGAGGGAGGTGAACAATTACATGAAATGGTTATGAATACATTGCCTGATGCTTGGGACAGTATGATAGTTTTGAGATAATAAGCAAAATAGCTCCCAAAGTAAGTTCTTCTTTTTATTTATTTATTTATTTATTTATTTTTGCAAATGTACTTTTTTACAAATATCAACACAACTTACAAAAACTGAGTAGATTCTCTGGTTGTTTCATAAAATGGATACAGTTGTGTTGTAAACATTGAGACCCCTGGTTCCTATCACCACCACTGTAAAGAAATCTGAGTTGGTGGGTTTGTCTGAAATGCACCATTTCACATAAAAACCCTCTCGTTGGCTTTGTTTACATCTCAACCATTGAATTTTGCATAAATATTTGAAAAGTCAGGGGAATTCCCCTTTAACTGTTGAAACCTTGTGGTTCAAGGTGACAGACAATGAGGAGAGATGCGCCTCTTGTCCACGAGGGGGCGCGGCTGCGCCACCACCCTTGACTTCAATGAGTGCTGGTGATTACCTCATTTGCTCAGAGTGGGGGTCTTACCACACGAACCCACGCACTACACTGGAGCGTTTTTAGGTGGAAAGGTGGAAACAGGCTACTATAGATCCTTACTACAAAACTAAACGTTCAACCAGCCTGCGCTTTAGTGCTCAGTCGCGTCATATCCAACCTAAAACCTCTGCAGCAGTCATAAATCAAACCGTGTGGCTCTGACTGCAAGCCGAACTCGCCTCACAGCCTCTGAAAAACGCAGAGGCTGGTCTGTCTGTGTGAGAGGGAGAGTGAAAGAGGGAGGGGGCGTGTCCGCTTACTGCCCCACCCACCAGGGCGGAGACTCTATATTTCCCCCAAAAAGCCTTGGCTTGCAGACATTTGAGAGAACAAACCCGGCTTGCGCTCCTCACTCGGCCCCGGAGCAGCGGTAGATGTGCACTCCAACAACGGAGCGCCGTGTTACACAAGAGACGAGACGAACATACACACCTCCAGAGACAACGAGGTGAGGAAAAACTCAGCAGCTGGAGTTTTAGGCCTTCTCACGTCTGATTTTCCCTCCCTTTAGAGCACTTACAGGGATTTGTTTACTGTTTTATACGCATTAATGCTACAGAGTAAATGTGAATGACTGGATTTTAGATTTGGGTTATCTGCTAAACATGAAAGGGCACTTAAAGCGATTTGGTTTACAGTTTTAACCGTAAATGTAAGTGATTTTGACTAGAAATAAGACATCTAGGGAAAAGTGAAAGCTTGTGCTTACTGTTTTAAAGGCACTGAAGCCACAGTAGTAGAGTGAATGTGGATTATTTTGACTGTAAGTCTGTGTGATGTTTTGAGTGTGTTTGTATTGACGAGCATCAGTGGCTCAGTGAGACTGGGGTTGTGTCTCAATCCGCGCACTACTGTACTAAATAGTATGTTCAAAATAGTAATTACACCGTTGATGGTGTACTATTTTGGACGGTATGTGGTTTGAGACGCAACCACTGACTGAAATAGGATAGAATACTATTAGGATGGATGCAGTGATGCTGGTAACCTTCTTCGTGTCCTTATTCTTCGTTGAAAAAGAAAAAAAAGAGTAGCCTATCCACGTTTCTGAATCTGTCTTTTTGTCCCAGTTTGTAGCTTTGAGGAGAGGAGAGGTGAGGAGAATGCCGGCCATAATGAAAAACTCCGATTTGGACTTCGATTCCTTGCAGCCGTGCTTCTACCCGGACGAGGATGACTTCTACCTGTGCGGTCCTGACTCGGCTCCCCCGGGCGAGGACATCTGGAAGAAGTTCGAGCTGCTGCCCACGCCTCCTCTCTCGCCCAGCCGGGCTGCGTTGCCTGGCCGCGGTGACGCTGCGGACTGCCCCCCGCTGGGGCTGGGTCTGGGTCTGGGGCTCGGGCTGGCAGACCCGCTGGACTGGGCGTCCGAGCTGCTGCTGCTGCCACCCGAGCAGGACGTGTGGGGGGCAGCCGAGGCGGAGGGAGACCTGTTCGGCTCACCGGAGGGCTCACCGGGAGACTCTATCATCCTCCGCGACTGCATGTGGAGCGGCTTCTCCGCGCGCGAGAAGCTCGAGCGAGCCGTTAGCGAGAAGCTCGCGCGGAAAGCCGTGGTTGCGTCGGCCGGAGCGAAGAGCAGCGCGGCGAAGGCGCCGGTGCCTCAGCGGGAACCCGAACCCAGCAGAGTCGTGGCAGAGTGCGTGGACCCCGCGGTGGTCTTCCCCTTCCCTGTGCTTAAAGGCAGGACGCCCGAGCAGGAGGAGTCCGGCAGCGACTCAGGTAAGTTTTAGAGTCTAATAAAAAACACCCAGCACAGCTGGCTTCAGTTTTAAACGACATTTAAAGGGAAATCCACCATTCTTTTAAAAATTTCTTCATAATTAAATGGTTGAGATGTAAACGAAGTCATCCTGAGTGGTTTTGTGTGAAATGCTCCATTCTAGAGAAACTTTCAGAGTCAGAACTGTTCACAGTGGTGTTGATAGGAACCAGACGTTGGTGAACCTCTGAAAGCTTCCTCCCAGAAAGTTAGCGCATGAAATGGCAATGAATATGCTGCCTGATGTCTGTGAAGTTGTTTTGCGATAGTTTGTTGATAAAGTTTTGGCTGAAAATGTTTTTTAATCTATTCATGGTGGAGGGATACATGCAGGGCGTTGTGAGGCAATATAGCCCCCCCCCACCCCCACCCCGACTCTGTTTACATCTCAAGGACTGGGTTGTTCAGAAATTTTGAAACAATGGTGGAATTCCCCTTTAACGCAAAGAGTTTGCTGGCTTGCTTTTACTTATCTGACAAGATTTCATTCGACATAGTTAGTGATAAAGTCAAGGCTGTGATTGGATCATGAATAAAATGGGTCAACACCTTTGCTGCCAAATGTGGGATAATAACATGCTGTAATAAGTTGTAAACCAGTGGCGTATAATAATAAAGCTCTAATTAATTGTATAGTAACTGATGAAGCTACACATTTGAATCCAGTAAGTTGTGCTGAAGGGCTCTATAACAAAAACTAATTTCTTTAATGAATTGTAGCTGTGAACTAAGGGTATACTAAGAGATGCAGTACTGAGGCAGAGTCTTGGTAGCAGCAATGAGAGATCAGTAGCAGAGCGTTACCGGTAGGGGGCGCTGATGGATGATATCATGCACTGTGAAAAACTTAGAGCCAGTTGGCACAGTGCCTTTTGTGTGAGGATTTGATGACTGCAAGCTTAAACAAGGAGATTTTTAGGATTTGTTTTAGGGCTTTCCCCAGAAATCGATGTAGCAAAAAAGGATAGAGGTGAAGATGAAATGGCAGAAGGAAGAGTTCAAACCAAGTCTTTGTTCTCAGCTTTTGGCTGCAGAATTGAAAAGCAGAGGGCTGGGTTCCAAATGGATGCCTATTAAGTGTATAAGTCTTTATGTCATCACCTAAGTAGTGCACAGTTTACATGATGGAGGCTGAGATCCCTGTAGGGCATATATGCACCCTGTAGTATTTAAAGTACACTATATTGGGTTTAGAAGCCTTTTTTCCTTGACTTATGTTGAGTGTTATGTAGGATCCGAGAAGCCATTTGGGATGCAGCCATAGTGTTGGAGCTTCATTAAGCTCAGTTTTCATATGCAAATCAAGAACGACAGTCGCACGTGGGGAAGAGTGTAAGAGCTGGCACTGAGGGCGCGCGTACATAGAGGTGGCTATGTGTGTGTTTATGTGTGTATTTATGTGTTTGTGGGGACTGGAATTTTCCCAGACACGAAAAAAAAAATTGTTGTAATAAAGACATTTGGCTGGGAGATTGGCCTAATTTTTGCTTTTGAAAAAGTTAAATAACCACAAGATTTTGAGCTCAATGGGTTAATGTTAGGGTTGGGTTAGATGTAGTACAGCAGCATGTTATTATAGTAGTACAGAAGTCAATGGAAGTATCCCACAAAGACAGGAATACCACCTTTGTGTGTGCCTGTGTGTATTTGTGTGAGACTGCTGCTCCGGGCTTGACTTGGCAGGCTGAGAGGACTCACTGAAAGGCGCAGAATAATAATAGCGAAGAGGGAAAAAAAACGCACCAGCCGTCTCTCTTTACAGGGCGAGGGCTTTGAAGGAGCGCAGTCTTCCTTCAGCTGTCCGTCTGGCGCAGCTCCAGGGCAGCGGCTTAAGGCACGATCGCATCACTACTGCTCAGCCCAAGCCCGCCAATAATCAGGCCTGGCCATTACAACACTCTTCCGGCACTCGCAGTCTGTGTTCTTTTTCTCTCCTCCCCACCAACAACCCAAAATAAAACTTAACCTCTGGGGTGGGGTGGGGGGGCAGGGTAAAAAAGAGAGTGAGAGAGACCCTCTCTCCTCTCCATAAAGCTTCCCTGTCCCGTCTCTCCCTACCACACACAGACAAGTTCCTGTGGAGCGCGTTTGAAGTGAGATCCAGTAAATGCCAAACACACTTCACGAGTGGCTTAGCTGATAATCACCTTCATTATCTCATAAATATGGCCCTGAGGCGTCACACTGATGCCGGGTTGCCTTCTGGGGCTTGAAGTGCCTCACCACCTGGACAAGGCTGCTAGTAAAATGTCTCCGCAAAAGTAGATACACACAAACAGACACACGTTCTTATCAACGTTAATATCTAATGCGTTCATGGAATCTCACTAGGTGGTCTAGTTAGGATAGAATCCTCTGGAATCTTGCAGGGTGTGCAGAGTTAGTTTGGCAACTGACAGTAAGAGCCTTCCTGTGAAAAAACATCATTGTGCAATCGCAGCAGACTCTGCAAAACACTTTGCTGCTCACACACCCATACAGAAATAAATGAGCATATTTTCCTAGGCACACATCGTGTACCTTTTTAGGTACACATCGTGTACCTACCTGTTCACCTGAATGTCTGAACCTGAATGAGTAGTTGGTAATAAGCCTTAAGCTTAACTGGTAACAAGTCTAGAGGTTAACCAGTATGTAAGAGGTATTTAGTTCATGCTCTTGCTGAACATGACTTACAGTGGCAGGGAATGTAATATTAGGAATCTAGCTCAGTGATATAGCAGTCATGTTTCTACTTATGGGTTTAGCAGTGATATTCCTGCCTATGGGTATCGCAGTGATGTCATTCTATGTGGAGTCTGATGCTGCAATCAACCATTCTATCCAAAAACACCTTATAATTCTTCTGTGCTTTTCAACAGATGAAGATGAGGATGTGGATGAAGAAGACGAAGATGACGATGAGGAGGAGGATGAGGAGGAGATTGATGTTGTCACTGTGGAGAAGCGTCGATCCGCCACCAGCAAGTCTCTCAGCAGCTCCAACCCTCAGGCTTCCGCAACAGGCCGTCTGGTTTCAGGCGTGAGCAAAGCCCCACAGGAGCTCATCCTGAAACGGACAGCAGCCGCCTCCATCCACCAGCAGCAGCACAACTACGCCGCTCCATCGCCCTACTCCGAGCAGACGGAGCCTCCTTCTGCTCCTCCCAGCAAAAAACACAGAGCCGAGGTCGGCGCTAATCCACTCCGGAGCACTAAGTTTCACATGGCCTCCCCGAACTCCCCCAGCGGCACCCAACGGCCCAGGAGAAGTGACGGCGGCAGCAGCAGCAGCTCTCGCGGATCCGACTCAGAGGACAGCGAACGGCGGAGGAACCACAACATCCTGGAGCGTCAACGACGTAACGACCTGCGCTCCAGCTTCTTGACCCTGCGAGACCAGGTGCCAGAGTTGGCACACAACGACAAAGCAGCCAAGGTGCTGATCCTGAAGAAAGCCGCTGAGTACGTGGGATCGCTGGAGACCCAGGAGCTGAGGCTCCGGCAGGAGAAGGACAGGCTCCAAGCCAGACGGCAACAGCTTCTACGCAGGCTGGAGCAGGCCAGGACTCGCTAACTGGTAGTGCTACCACTAACACGGCTCGCAGCTGCTGGCTAAACGGCTGCACGGCTCGTGGCTGATGGCTAGCAGCCCAAAAAACAAACTCTTACGGCGGTGGTTTCCAACCCTCGTCCTGGTGTAGCCTTGCCCTGCTCATTGTAGTGCTTTCCCTGTTTTAATACAGTGGTTCTTAACCAACTGCTATGGACAGTTTCAAGTATTCCCAGTCCCAGCACAACAATTCCAGCTCATGGCATGCTTTATAATCGCCTGAAGAGTGTTTGGGCTGGAAATGCTTGAAACTGTGCCGGCCAATGGAATCCCAACCACAGTCTGGACACACCCACTTCAACTCAGGAAAGGCTTGTTTATTGAGCTGGTTAGTAGGACCAGGTGTATTAGAGCACGGAAAACACTAAAATGTGAAAACAGGGGTACTCTAGGACCAAGATGAAGAACCACTGCCTTACAGACACTCACTGCCGCCACTTTTTTTGCACATTTTTTGACGTCAAGAATGTTTAGGGTTTACTTTGTCACTTCAGTCACATCAAGGACAAGCAAAAAAGCATAATTCAATACAGCAGGGAAGGGAGAGGGGGATAGAGGTGAAAATCCCTTACTCTATCCAAGTTTTCTTTTTATTCCTTTGTCTTTTTGGTTCAGTGTTGACCAATAAACCTTTTCTCCCTCGGACTTTTATGCTGCCGCCGTTCTGGAACATGGAAGTCCAAAAGGAACACTCAATAAGACCACACACTTTGCCTTCACTGTCTTACTTCAAAAATGACACAAAAATTAAAACAATGGACACGGGTCAGTCCTTTGTGGCTTGACTCACCCACACCTCTCTCACTGGTGCTGAAGCCCCTGGATGTACCTCTGCGCACCTTGGTGTCAGTCACTTTTGTAAATAGCTATGAAAAACACACTCTCAGTCTGCCTTTTTTTGTATACAGAACCTGGGTTTTTATAAAAAGCAAATGTCATAAAGCTGCCAATAACTAGACTGGAAGTTTATATACCTTGATTAAGTACTGTATGGCCTCGATTTGTGAGGAGCTTTGTAATATAATGATATATTGTTTTTGTTTTCGTTTCTTATTACCCTTCTTTGTCGTCACATGATACTTACTAATTCCTACACCTATGCTTTAGTGTGCTTCTGATACATACTAAATTTGATACTTATATTTTCGTATGAAAATGAGTTGAGTAGATATCACTATCTTGTTTTATCTCTTTTCTCTTTTATGTTCATTCTTTTTGTACAGAATTTCATCCTATCATTTACCTTGCCTCTTTTGTTTTTTTTTCTATCGGGTTCATAGAACTGGGTCAGTGGGAAAGTTTTTTTGTTTTTTTTTCTCTCTTTTTCTAAATGTACATTTTAGTGCTGCAACTCATAGCACTTTGAAATACCTCATTTTGAAAAATAAATAGGCTTTGAAAAGAAAAGCTGTCTCTGACAGAGTCATTGTTATTGAGCAGAACTGTTCTAGTGAGGCCTGTCAGGTATTTGGTGCATGAAGTCTTGCAGGACGAGTAACACACTGTACAACATTTCAGACATGCTTGAAGCTCTGCCAAACATCCGCGAGTAACTTCCAGTCACTTAACCCCTTAAATGGCCAGGGTCCATGGGTGGGCCCAACGTTTTACTGCAGTTTTATTCTTAGATAAGAATAACTCAGCTAGTTTGCACTGTAGTTACTGAATAACAAGTCTTCGAATGTCATGAGCTTGGGATGTTAAGGGGTTAATGTTTTGAGGCACAGCATATGAGCTGCGTAGGTTATTATGTCATTGTTGACAATAGACACCCTCTCTAATTTTGAATTTGATGAGGATCTCTCAAAGTACTCACAAATGCCACTCATATTTCATATGGCCAGTTACTTTTTATTTCCACCCAATGGCCACTTTATTGGAAACACCTACCTTTTGCATATACTCTATGCCCACTTCATTAGAAACACCCACCTTGTACTTCCTCTTGTTGACCACTTTATTAGAAACACCCACCTTGTGCTTCCACTCACTGCCACTTTATTAGAAACCTCTATCTTGCACCTTCACTCACTGGCCACTTTATTAGAAACACCTACCTAGTATTTTCGCTCGTTGGCCACTTTATCGGAAACTCTTATCTTTTGCGTACACTCTGTGCCTCCTTTATTAGAAATAACCAACTTGTACTTCCTCTTACTGGTCACTTTATTCGAAACATCCACCTTGTACTTCCACTCACTGGACACCTTACACCTAGAACATCTGTTGTACTTATGTAGATGTACAGTTGAAAGCTGTAGCTCATCTGTTGATGCACAGTTTAACTACACTCCTAATTATCATTGGTCAGTTTGTGACTGTTGACAAAATATAGCAGAGTTTTAAACTGTCAGTGTCACTGCTAGGTTGAAAATGGTCCGCTACCCAAACGTATCCAGCTCTGTGATCAGAAACTGACCCCTGATGAAGGGCTAGAGGATAGCTAACATTAACATACATGTGATAAAGTGGCTGGTTGTTTGAGTTTTGCATAAAACAATTTCATCTGAAAAAAACAACCTTATAGAAAATTAGCCTGCTCTTAATATGACTGAGGCAACATTAACTGAAAATGGAGGCAATTTAACACAGCATTTAGAACATTCATCAGCATGTTATAATGAAGAACAGAATCTGTTCATCAGGTAAAAATGCTTTGTGTATTTATTTCTTAGGTGCTTTAAAGCATTTCCTGACATTTCTTTCCCTCTTTCTCCCCCTGTCACTGATATTCTTAGCAGTCATCTGCCTCTCTCCATTCTATCTGTAGGAGTTGACCGGGCGCTGTTCTGAAAAGAGGAGAAGGAGTGTGTCGCTCTTTGTGCTTTCTCCCTCTCTCACACACACAACCAAGACAAAGTGGATGTAAAAGTGTAGTACACACACAGATGCACTTCTAGGTACACACACACACACAACGCACACACTCTCCCAGTGAGGCGATATTGAAGCACACACACAGACGCGCCCTCGCAGTTTCTTGCCTCATTGTTCGGCGGGTCGCCATGGAAACTGGAGCAGCTGCAGCGTGGCAGACTTGGAGTGTGAGTGTGTATAATTCTGCATGTGTATTTGTGTGTATACGTGTGTGTGTGTTCTGCCTTTTGTGCGGAGTGCTGTCGTGACCGGGGCGTCTAATATCCTGCTCAGATTGTGGGGGCCAGTTTGTGTTTACCAACTCGGAGCACATGGTCTTAAAAAATCAGCCTGAGTGCAGCCAGATACAACTACAGCCAAATATCTGCCTCACAGAGCCACTACAGAACAGAGAGAGAATCAGGAATCTGTCACAGGGAGAGAGAGAGAGAGAGAGAGAGGTGAAAAGAGACAGAGAAGGATAGAAAAAGACAAAATACAGAGAGAAAAGAGACAAGGGAAAAGAAACAAAGAGGTAGAGAGAGAAATAAAGAAAGAAGAGAAAAGAGAAAGACAAAATAGAGCAAGACAGAGAAAAAAGAAAAAGAGAAGAAGAAAAAGACAAAAATCGTGGGAGAAAAGAAAGAGAAAAGAAAAGAGAAAGAAAAATGAAAAAGAAAAAACAGACTAAATGGTGGAAAAGACAAAGAGAGAAAAAGAAAAGATAAAAGAAAGAAAACAGCAACAGAGAAAAGTTAGAGAGAGTTAATAATTAGCAAAGTTTACTGTCATTGTTGTGTTGCTCTGTGTTTTGCATAAAGGAAAGAAGAAATATAAACAGATAGAAAACAGAGAGAGACAGGGAAAAGACACAAAGAGGTAGAGAGAGAAATGGTGAAAGAAGAGAAAAGAGACAAAATAGAACAACACAAAAAAGAAAAAGAAAAGAGAAAAAGATAAAATGGAGAGAGAAAAGAAGGAGCAAAGAAAAGGAAGAAAAAAAGGAAAGAAAAACAGAATGACAGGGAAAAAGAAAAAAAGAAATGAGAAAAATTAACAGAGGAACAGAGAGAGAGAAAAAGAGAGAGAGAGGGAAAAGAGAAAGAAAGATGTAATAATTACCAAATTTTATTGTCATTTTTGTTATTGCTAGTGTTTCATTATTGTACTTTATGTTTTGCATAAAGGAAGGAAGACAGAGGGAGGATATAAGAAGAAAGAGACAGAGAAGGATGCAAACAGACAAAGCGGGATAGAAAAAGACAGGAAAAAACAGAGAGTGAGTGACAGGGAAAAAGAGACAAAGAAAGAGAGAGAGAAAAGACAGAAAATAACAGCAAAGAAAAAAGGAAAAGAGAGAGAAAAAGAAAAAATGTAGAGAGAGAAACTAAGAGATGGAAAGAGAGCGAGAGAGAGAGAAAGAGAGAGCGAGAGAGGGAGAGAAAGAATATGATGAGAAAAGAGAGAGAGAGACAGAAAAAACGCAGTGGAGGTTATTGTTGTTACCGTTGACATTTCTACTGTTTTATCATGATTTATTTGATTTGCATACAGAAAAAGAGAGAGAGAGAGAGAGAGAGAGAGAGAGAGAAAGGGAGAGTGAGCAAGACAAAAGAAAAAAGAGAGGCAGAAAGAGAAAAGCAGAAGAAGAGAGAAAGGACAGTGAAAAAGACAGAAAAGAGAGAGAGAGAGAGAGAGAAATAGAGGGGTTTAATAATTAGTGATGGTTACTACTGTTGTTATTGCTACTGTTTTCATCATACTTTATTTACGTTTTGCATACAAGAAAGGAGGTAGCAAGAGACAGAGTGAGAGAGACACAGAGAGAGAGGGAGACAGAGAGAGAGAGAGAGAGAGAGAGAGAAAGAGAGAGGGAGAGAGAGAATAAACTCTGGAGGTTGATGGTACAGTCTGGCCTATGGAAAGATTACATAACAGTCTGAGATTTCAGTCATTCTGTGTGTGTGTGTGTGTGTGTGTGTGTGTGCGCGTTTGATCCCATGGATGAGGTAACCACAGGAGACCCCTCTGGACCATCTGGCCGATGGCTTATCTTGCCTGGTTATGGAGAAAAACAAAAACAAAGAGCGGAGCACAGACAATAACACACCACCATGTCTAAAGCAATAGAGTCAACACACACCAGATACACACACACACACACACACACAGGCAGAAACACTACCCCCTTACAAGAACAGAGTGAAGACACAATGTAAATAAGATAAGCACACATTAACACAGTCATACTCTCTCTTACATACACATAAACACTCATACACCCTTATTGAGGTCACACTGAACTGAGGTCTCCTCTCTCTCTGTGTATCTGTTACTCTCTCTGTGTATCTGTTACTGTCTTTGTGTATCTCTCTGTGTATCTCTCTCTCTGTATATCTTATTCACTTGTTATCCTAGCTGGAGTAGTGGCAAAATGTTTTCATTATGGCTGTATTAAATAATCTGTGATGTGTTGTTTAGCCTACACTTGCATCTTTGCATTTTTTATTAATGAAAAGGGGAAATTATTAATAAAGCTATGTAGATCACTTCTCAACAGGCTAACAAGGCAGATCAAACTCTGGCACAACCAGTCACTGTCATGTTACTGATAGTTGGCTAGCTAACTAGCTTGTGAAGCTAACTTGTTATAAAAAAGCAGCTAATAAACACCATTACTGCAAGAAACATTATTCCATCTTGTCTGTGATGTTTGATGTTTGTGACAGTCTTTCATTAAAATTGTTTTACAAAGTTGAGAGAGCTTCTAACAAGTTTCAAGTGAGTTGCAGTAGGCTTTACATTGTGCAATGCTTGTGAGATTTAGTTACATGTTGGTTTCCAGCAACAAAGCTGTTTGAAAGTTTTGCTATGTAAAGCCAGCCTTAGGCCGTGTCAGCACCGGTGAAACTTGCATGCAACTAGTTGCATGTTGTGAGTTGCCTGCAACATCTCTCTCTCCCCATGCAAATTGACAGTTACACAAAGCAATTAAAAAAAGTTGCATACAATACATTCAGTTACTCTACTAGTTAGCAAAATTAGCAGCTTGCATTTTTGATATACCATATTTTTCTCATTGTGAAGTCATTTGCTAGGTGTAATTCACATAAGTGCAGCATTTTTATCATCTTTGTATACCTTTTCCTGTATTTTCCTGTATCTGTTTAGGGTACTTTACTGCATGTTTGAGTCATATTAATAAATATTGAATTGCTAGTTTAACTAGCCGTTAAACAAAAAAACTCACATGATGTCTCACTTATCCTGTCCTTGAAGCACAAGTTCATTGAGAAGTGCATTTTGATCTCCCCTTCTGTAATAAGTTTCATTCTTTGGATCCCAAAAGAATTTGAGCTCTGTCTAAAATTAGGGGGTGTCAAGAGAAGAGAAAATGAAGATGGTGTACTTTTGAACTGAACTGCACTTTACTTGAGTGTAGGTTTCAGGCAACTAAAGTTGCATAAAAGTTTTACTGTGTAAAAACAGCCTTAAAATCACAGTGGAAATATCACAACTTCGATAAACTTGATAATATTACAAGTACTTTG